CCAAGCGTTCCAGTGGTAGTGTCACGCTGCAGTTATATTATGGTTGTAGCACGAATAGGATAGCGTAAAATAGCACTTTAATACTGCTGTGTTTCGTATGGTGAGTGTAGAGGTCCGAAGACCTCTTTTTACTGGAAACGAGGCATTCCATCTTTGTCCTCAGCGAAGACCACGTATATGCATTTTGATTCTTAGTCGATGATAAATGTACATATCTATGGGCCACAGCTGTATACCATCAGATGGACTTTGTTTTTTCACAATAATTCTATAAAAAAAATATAAAGGCAAATCCTCTCTGCATAGGGAGAGTCATGTCCAGCAACAGACTTATGCAACGTAAAAAAAATACAGAAAGACGAACAATAAGTAGTAAATTTAAGTAGAGCAACAAACCGATCGCATTTGATGTAACCAGTTTTGTTTCCCCGGTGACCGCAACCGCAGTTTCCTCCACTCAACCATCGCGGTTAACTTGTTATAATTATTGGAGATGCTGTGTTTTATGCGGCTTACTACAGATAAGCTATACATTTGCATTTCAATATCATCGATTTGGCTCTACGTTCTTACATTCTTTTGCCCTAATATAGATTATAAAATATTTCAAAAGGCTCTAAAGGTAATGGTTAAACTGTTATATAGTGAAAAGAACACGTGAAAAACTTATACATAAAATTCAATATTCTAATTTGAACCTTAACTAAACCAATATAATCATAGCCTGTATGTCCTTGTTTCTTTATGAAACTTTACAGAGATTTCCTCGTGAATACTGGAGGTAGTTTATATACAAAAATTGCATGAGAACGTACATTAAGATCCGGAACAATTATTGTAAGAGATAAAAATACTTGTTCCTTGCGGAATTTGAATCAGAGCCTTAATGATACATAGACATACATGGTAGAGCCACGCCGTAGCTATATTAGTTGTAACGAATGGGTCGGCTCGACCGGGGTATGACAACACTTTCACAGAATACCAGCGAAATATAGTAGCTTTGTGTTTCATATGGTGAGTGTAGAGAACCGGAGGCCCTTGTTACGGAAACGAAGCATTCCACCTTAGTCCTCAGGAGTGACAACACATCTGCATTTTGATTATTAATCGAGGGTAAATGTAGATGTCTATGAGCTACAGTGAACATTTACCATCAGGTGGAATGTGTGCTCGTTTGTCGCTCTTATACTAAAAAAATGCTAAGTCAATGCGTCACGTCACCGTTATACCCATAGAATACTATAATACATAAATAATAGAACGGGGGAGTGGGCGGAGCCTGTGTTTCTACTAAAATGCCACTAACACGTCAATTCACACGTATAAATGTCAACACGAGATGTGTTTTGACGTTACAATCGTTTCCAAATTTCGCATGCAAATTATTTAGAAAATGCCAAATTGCACGCTATTAACAAATAAATATGTATTAAAATCCGTCTGTCAACACAGCGAATCGGGTTTGTAGTAGTGATTAACTGATAATACGAAGTAATTGCTTATATGTGTGCTCCCGGCGACGCCTATCCTCGTACAAAATAAGGTTGACAGCCATTCTATTGTGTATCATAGTACTCTATGGTTATACCACAGTCGACTATTGTAGATAACTTTAAGGTAACTTTACGTATTACGATTAAATATCATTGTCGTGATAGCGGCATAAGTGAATTCATCACGCTATATCGTCCCGTGGGTGTCGTAAGAGGCGACTGTGGGAAATGTCGGAAAGATTTTACGGCTTCCGATAGATGGCGGTATAACTATTTAATTTAAACCAAACGTGGAATATTCAGGTTGGAGTGGAACAGCGTCAAAGGTGCGAGACTTCGTTATCCACCTGACAGGCGTGATGATAAAGGCAAACCTTCCCTGCAAGAGGAGAAGTTCATATCCAGCAGTGGATATATGAAAGCTAAAAAAGTAAGAAGAAGAAAAGTTTTAATAAGTTGAGACCCTTTTTACTGGAACTGCCGCATTCCATCTTAGAAGTGACAACGCATCTGCAATTTTCATTTTTAACCGAGGATAGATGTAGATGTCTATGTGCCACAGAAAACACTTACCATGAGGTACACTGTGGGGGGGGGGGGGCGTTTGTCTCCCTTATTTTTTACAAAAAAAGACAGAATTCGCAATCGATTTTGTAATATGTACGAGTATCTTATAAATTTTGCCGTCTCTGGCACGGGTCTAACAGGTTTTAGTTCAAAATATTGTAACCCTTGGACTGCTTCGTTGGTCTAATGGTTGTTGACGCAGTTACAGATCATGACGTCCCGGGTTCGAATCCCGGATCAGGTTAAAATCAGTTAGGAAAGAGATTATCAGTAGTAGTCCGGAGTCAGCTAGTTAGCTGTGTTACAAGCCCGTGCACCGGAATGCACGTGAAACCGTTGGTCCTGCGCCTGATCTCTCTCCGGTCGTGCCGGATAACAATCCCTTTGGTCTAGGAGAGTGAGGGAATAGAGAGTTCATGTGTGCTATTATCCTGTCACATAATATAATACTTATGGCAGCAAATACTAAATGTGTTAATGAGTAACACATATTTCGTATATGGCGTTATAACTACAGATTATAAATAAAGTAGGTACGTGATGGTAATAGCGTTGCCGCCAAATAAACCAAAACTAGGAGGATGACAGAGACAAAAACACAAAGTCGTATTCTTCTTAAGGTGCCGTCTCCTTGCGAAGGTTGGCAATATGGGGATTTCACACAAAGTCGTATAGTATAACTAATACATTAAGAAAAAAAAACAAAAAAGTTTTGGCAATACTTAGAAACACTTTAAAAAAAACTAACTATACTGCACTACGAGTATACTAAAATTGACTAACATATTTACTATAATGTCTACTGCCAAAATGGCGTCGATAAAGCAGCGCCCTTTTGATCCTTTATTATTTGATTGACTGATGAACAGCTATCGTATCACAAAGCCATAAATGTAAAATGTAAATAAAACTTTAGTTTTTGATTTACAAGAAAGTGACCATATCAAATAGATGTACTATAGTTATGAGATATCACTTGCTTAGCTTCAGTTAAATGTCAGGGCATTCAGACCTTTTATGTCATACCATGTGTATCATGTCACCGTGACTTATAACTGAGTTAGAGGAATTAAAACTTAGTGTATTTTACTTGACATTGATCCCTTTCCATTTCTTAGGTTGTGCACCGTGCACTGTGCATCGTACACGTGGTGGTACGTGTACGTACGTGTGGTGGCGGTGTGAGAATATCTACCACTCCATATCAGGCTATCAGGTAGATGATACTGCCTCACCCCTTGTTCCATTTACCTCTGTCGCCTTTTAAGACACAATATATAAAACAAAATATATAAACTGCGATTGCCAAGCGTGCCCCCCTCGTCAAGCGTGGCATGGCATCTATGGAAAATATCCCCTCTACAAGAAAACCTATGAGGGGGAGCCAATGTTCAGTAGTATTCGTTTTCAGTTCTTTGATCTGTGGGATCAATATTTACTTCTTATATGTCTAATAGACTAGATTTAAATTAAGCGACTGTAGCCAGGCAGACGTTGTTCTGCTCTTTTCGACGACCCTTTGTCATATTGTATTAAAATTCGCAAAAAAATGTGTCTGTCACTCATGTACAAAAAAAACTATCCTATCTCTCAAGTTGAACCAAACAGCATACGGTGTGCAAATTTGACTAAAATCGGTTAAGTAGTTTAGGAGTCCATCGCGGACAAACAACGCGACACGTAATTTATATATATTAAGATATATATATATATATATATATATATATATATATATATATATATATATATATATATATATATATATATATATATATATATATATATATATATATATATAAAAGTTGCCTTTTCGTTGCTGCCATCATTATCGTCATAATCATTACAGCCTTTCACAAGTCCACTGCTGAACACAGGCCTCCCCCAAGGAGTGCCACAAAGCACGGCCCTGAGCCACCTGCATCCATAGCCTTCCTGCATGTCTTACCAGGTCATTACTCCATCTAGTGGGGGTCGCCCTACACTACGCCCACCGGGACGCTGCCTCTCGAGAACCTTTTTTCCCCATCGGTTGTCGGATCTTCGAGCTATATGGCTATGTCGGTTATTCTGATTCTACTACGGATATGCTCATTTCTAAGTTTATACTGAAGAGAAACCCCGAGAATAGCCCTCTCCATACCTTGCTGAGCGATCTTGAGCCTTGTTGTTGCCATAATATAAAATATACATGTGTTGTGATGTACGTATTGTAGCTTTATATAACAGAGTATCTTTCTTTTAAAATACGTCTGCTGCATGCCGTTAGAGTCATAGACCTCACCCTTATTAGACAGACATTGTTATACCGCTAACGGAAGACATAAGATTTTGCTGGTATTTCCACTAGTCGCCTCTTAACATTCATGGAGCAAATTGGTTTGGTGGACATCTACAGAAACAGACACTATTTATTCAATATAGATTATAAATAATGCTTCTTGAAAGTCACTCTTTTGTTTAATTACCACTGGTTTGGAAAAAACTTCTGTCCTGAGAAGAACCGGCAAGAAACCCAGAGGGATTTTTTTTAAAGTAACAGCCTTCGTTCATGTATGCTACACAATTAATCAACAAAAACAAATTAGAATAGCTTGGTAGCGATCAGCTCATTCCCATAAATATATTTAATAAATATTTTTTGTGCAGACTTAGTTAAAAAAAGTTTTTGAACTTTGAGCAGGTCAAATATTCAACATACGAAGTAATTACTTAATTTTTAGTTCATATGGTTAAACACTATACGAGTATTTAATCGTTTAGAAAAAACATGTTGTCTTATTGATTTTTTTTAAATTTCATCGATTGATTTTGACTAAATTCTATAGAATAAGAAACAACTCTCTCCAGTATAATAAATTTCTAATTTAATGTATATTTTAATGTTTAATGTAATATTTTGTCTTTGTTTATCAGATGGCGTAAAACTTTCGAAACAAAATGGCAGCGGTGTCAACTACCGTGCACCTACAGGATACAAGAATAAAGATCCAGGATCACAGCGATGAGGAACATGAACCCTATTCACCGAATACAAGGGACACTATTAGCCCTGAATATCAAGAAGAAGACAAGCCTGAAGAGAGATCTATACACACGTCGTCTTTTTCTATACATAACGTTTTGAAAAAGGAACGAGATACAAGTAGTCCGGAAAACGTATTCTCAACCGATAAATTATTGCAAAATACCCCAAATTTTGATGATAATCAAAATTCAAGGACATCGGAGAGCGTCAGTCCAAGGTTAGATGATGAGGATAATCAAGCCAATGAGTATAGGGCAGAAATAAGTGTAGATGATGAAAACTCCTGTTGTAGTGATGACACTGTTCTATCAGTTGGAAATGAGGCTCCTGTATCTAACTTTCAGGATAGCGAAAAGAATAGTTCAGAAGCCACACCGGGTCTATCGTCCTTTAAGCATATTCAGACGCATTTGAATGCGATCTCGCAACTAAGTCAGAATCTTAACGTGAATCAACCCTTACTCCTACGGCCCAGCCCGATCACACCAAATCCTTTAATGTTCCTAAATCAACCGTTGTTGTTTCAAAACCCGTTGAATCAAGTGGAGCTGAAATCTGGAGTGATGCCAAGTCGCTTGCCGATTCCGCAAAATAATTTAAATCTTAATCCTCAGCATTTCGGATTAAATTTCGGTATGAGAATGAAAAACCAGGCTCAGGAGCAGCGACATAATAGAAGCGACGAGAACAGACGAGTTAACTATCTTACACCAAAATCTCCCGAAAACGAGTCAGAAAGGGATTTCATAAATCAAAATTGCTTAAAATTTAGTATAGATAACATTTTGAAAGCAGATTTTGGGAGGCGCATTACAGATCCGCTCACTAAGAGAAAGAATTTAAAGACGAAGTCATTTGAGGCTAAAGCTCCAGTCAAGGAGGTCCCATTGCCATCTAAGCCAGATGTGCTTGAGGCTAGAGTACCGGAAGTTAAGCCTGGTGATAAAGGTGCTATCGATCTTTCCAAAAGCGATGACGGTTCGAGTAACCACAGTAGTACTACAAGTAAGTTTTCTTTTAACGTTTTTGCGTAATAGAGTTAGAAAACATAATTTTCATAGAAAAACAAAACGTAGTCGTAAATTTTACGTATACGAATTTTTTTATTTTATTTTGGAAGCTATAAGATTAATAAATAATTTTATGACCCGAGATTAACCAGTTATTTTTTATAGCTCCATTTCTCTTTATCTATCAGTCAGATTAGTGTTGAGCATATACCTGTACTCGAATACAGAAGGTATGTTATGTTGTAATTGCCACTCGTGGCAGGCGAATTGCTAATTGCAATATCAGATATTTCGGGTCTTTCACGATGTTCCACGTCGTGTAGGATGCAAAATATTTGGGTATTTTACATCTAAAATAAAATAAAAATGCGTGTCTTATCTAGTTTGGACCACCTCCTCCCACCCTCAATTGCGTGCATTATCCCCGTCACCACTAATCTCAACATACCACCGTTGATGACGAGACAGGTTTCGCCTCTAAACGAGGCATCAACAGGTGAAGTAGACTGCGATGGCTGACCGCTAAGTGATGATGTTTAACTTCAAGGTACAACAGTTGGTGAGAATGGACCGATGGTGTGGCCGGCGTGGGTGTATTGTACGCGGTACAGTGATCGACCGAGTTCGGGTGAGTTAAACTAATCTATTTCTACTAATCTATTTTCAAATTTGCTCAAGTCTACATCTATACAAATAAATATAATTGAAGTGTCTGTTGTAATGTGGAAATAACAATTTTTGATAAATACATATGTAAGTATATACGGTACTTATAATAAAAACAAAATTTTTAAAAATTTTGTCTGTTTGTCTGTCTGTTTGTTCCGGCTATTCTCCGAAACGGCCGAACCGATTTTAACGGAACTTTCACTGGCAGATAACTAATGTTATTGGAGTAATTTAGATACTTTTTATTTTAGAAAAAGAATTAGGTTATCGCGCAAAAAAAAACTTAAATCCCTAAATTACACGTGGGTGAAGATGCGGGGAACAGCTAGTTTAAAGTATAGCTGTGGTGGCTGACAAGCTAATCTTCACATATCTGGTCTGTACACATATAAATGGAATTGAAATGTTTGTCTGTGATATTGACTGCTTCTATTAAGCCCAGGTGGTTATTTACATGCTAATAAAGCGTAAATAACCATGTTTAATATTTTTGTTTGTTTGTCAGTTCGGGTTTATCTTCGGAATGGCTGAACCAATTGTGATGAAATTTTACAAACTGATAGCGAGCAATGCAAGGAGGGATTTGGGCTATATTTTACCTTAAATAGGTACTTGATTTTTTATAATAAAGAAAAATTTATTTATAAATAGTCGTAACATTATTACAATAGATTAGTCAGCTGAAGTGCCAATGGGCCGACCATATGGTTCAAAAAGGTTCTCGAGTGTTAGTCTCTTACTGGTAGGCGTAGTGTAGGGCGACCATCCACTAGATGGAGTGACGACCTGGTAATACATGCAGAATGTCGATGGATGCAAGTGGCTTAGGAGCATGATTTGTGGCATTCCTTGGGGGAGGCCCTTGTTTAGCAGTGGACTTGTGAAGGGCTGTAAGGATTTCATCCAGGACATTCCAGCCAGGTGAAGTCGGGTGAGTCGCCAGTTGTCTATACAACAGAAGTAGCAAAGCTCATATCCACCTAATGGTAAGTGGCTACCACAGTCCATGGTACCTGCAGAAAACTTCAAACAAAAAAGACTATACAGGTGCATTGTCACCTCTAAGTACTGAGATAGAATGCCGCATAGCCTGAACTTATACATAAACATATATATTTACTTATACATAATACTTATACATAAACACAAGCACTCACGTCTGTCACCCAGAGGAATAGGCAGAGACTACAGACTTCCATTTGGCACCATCCTGACACACCTCTCTTGCCTTCTTCACATCCATATACCTACGCATACATACTCGTCGGTTAAGGGTACTCTTAATTTGGCTTATTTTCAATATATCGCCAATTTACTTGACAAAATTTTGCCTAGGATGTCCCTTTTCGACTCTGCCTTTCACTTCTGCAATATATTGCTTTGTCACTCTTTCCTCATTCATTCTTCCTAAATGACCAAACCACCGAAGTATCATTTTCTTAATCCTAGTCACCCAGTCTTCTCTTATTACACAATTTCTCACCCTGTTGCTGAGATTTAGCCCCAACATACTCATTAACGACCGCGTTTTTACTGCATTTATTCTAATCTCGTGCTTCCTCTGCCATACCCAACTTTCACTACCATACGTTACAGTAGGGACTAACACAGCATTGCGAATTAACATACGTGCCTTTTTTGGCACATTCTGACTTTACACAATAGAGTGTAGAGTTCCATTTACTCTATTTCCTGTTTACTCGCCGTTCTTGATCCTTATCATATCTCCCATCGATGCTAAATACAAACCAAATATACAAACTTATCTACTTGCTCGACCGACTTTCTGAATCTCTATACCCTTCAGACTACCCTTCAGTAAGGCGAGCGCTGTCATTTGACGATAAAAATAGTTAATAGGGTGCTACTAACTCTCATGGAATCCAAGACAGAAGGATCTTATCTTGTAGTGCTTATTACAATACCTACTAATGAAGTTTTGACGTTACAACGTCTAATAAATCGATGAACGCCGGTTGCACGTACAAAAAAGGATGACTAATTGTAACGTTACGCTCTTTGTAACGTTACGATCGGAGCGAGAGCGTTGCACGAGCGAGCGAAAGGCACGATCGGCTTGAGCGTTCGGCCTCCGCCGCATCTATCTCTCTTCCACAAAGTATGCAATAATTTCATCAATGTTTTGTTATGACGTCACGTTAAACTATCGTCCGTAAACCGACTTTACAGACAACTAATTTTTTTGTTTCATCGTTGTATTTTTTTTTAATTTACCCTTTAGTGTATCACTTGCCGCTATCACATTACATATATTATTAAATACCAACTTAAGCACGCATCATGTCGTGCGCGTCAACAAGCTTTCATCAAAGTAATAAAGTAATGGAAACCGCAGAATGCAACGCTGTCACACAGTAGAGTTGTTGTCACCCTTTTCATGTTGGCATTATCAATTTATCTTTATTTTTTAAGAAAAGTTATTCCACACGAGTGAATTCTACCTTGTTTTTAACACGTTTTTGTTAGCTTGACCTGTATATTCATACACCCATAGGTGTGTGTAGAATTTGAATGTAATGGAAGTTATACAATTCAGTTTTCACGTACTTACGGACGTTTAAATAACAAAGAAAACGAATAAAAATGAAGTACCCGGTTGACCGAGCTTTGCTCGGTATTTTTGGCTCGGTTTTTTTTTAATTCGTGTGTTTTGGAAATTTTATTTAGATACAAATTACATGCTGATGAACTACGAACAATATTTTTTGATCTTAGCGACATAATAGAAAAAAACTGAACTGGTTATTTGAATAAAAATAAAAATCATGAGTGCAATTAGTTTAATTTAAATTTTCGTATTTTTAAAAAATACTAAAAAAGGGCTCGAAAAAATAGATTTTCTCAAAAAAAGAAAGGAACTTGATAAAAAAATTAAAAAAGTCCGTCGGTCGTTCTGGGCTCGAACCATGGTATTACGATTTTGTGACCGCCCAATATACCAATTAAGCTATTTGTAACCATTAATGAACTGTCAAAATTTACCTTCTTATTCTAACGATATTGTAGCAGTTTTTCATTGCCTAAAAACACGGACAAAAAGACATTTTTTAAAAATAAATCCTAGCTAGATCGATTTATTGCCCCCGAAACTCTCTGCACACAAAATTTTATGAATATATATATATATATATATATATATATATATATGTACTCAAGAATTGCTCGTTTAAAGGTATAGGATAAAAGAGACACGCTAGGTTTTTTCGATGGTTCTTCTCATAGCAGAGGGTTCTTTCAAACTACTGGTAAAGCTAATATAAAGATAGATAACAAGTATTTATTTTATACACACATTTTATATATATATATATATATATATTTTATTGTCACTAATTTCTTCCTGAACGGCTGGAACCATTTCGGTGTAATTTTTTATGTATTAGAATGGATCCCTGGATGGCCTATATTCACGATTGGACCCGGTAGGTGGCGCTGTTATTCCAAAAAACACCCATGCGAAGTCGGGGTAGATTGCTAATTATTTGAACGGCCTAGTGTTCCGTCTAGGTTCATCACAGTTCATGAGCAATGCTTGTTGTTTAAGACTTTTTAAGTTCTTATAATATCAATGGTTTTTAATTTGGGTCACGTTAGCAGCAGGGTGTCTGTAAGGGTTTCATTTTATTTACACGCTTTAGGGTAGAATCGTATCTATGTAAGTACATATGTACATATGTATGTATGTGTGACCAATTGCAGGTACGTATGTACATAAAGTAAGTATGTATTAAGGTTAATTGGTGTGGTTTTCGTTTTATTCAAATATTTATGATAAGCAAATCCGAATACACGAAAAGTATTGACACATTTCCGACTATTCTCTTTAAAAATTACAAGAAAGTGTAAAGCAAGGGTTAAGACAGCCAGTGTATTACAAACTGCGGAATTTCGTATCATTCCTCAAGGGTGACACAACGTATCTGTGATCTCTTTTGTTTGAAGTTGGTTCCGGCATATCCGGGTCGCTATAGCCGTTTGTCACTTGTTCAAAAAAATAACAATAATATTAGAAGCTAATAAAATTTATACAATACGAATTAAACATGAGCTGTGATGATTAAATTACTGTATTATCATCGGTTCAAAATTCCAGATTATTCAGACGTCTGGAACTAGGTGAGAACTGAATTAAATAATTTCATTATATTCAAACTATCATAGATACGTATAGGTCAAGATTTTTTTTTAAATATAGAGTAAGGGTGACAAACGAGCACACAGTCCGCCTGATGGTAAGTAGATGCTATGACCCAAAGACATCTGCATTTGCCCTGGATTAAGAATAAAAATGTAGATGCGTTGTCACCCTTGAGGACTGAGATGGAATAAATTGAGTTAATATGAAGGGCTATTTATACGGGTTTTATCGCGTTTATTAAACTTATTTTTAAGTTATTTTTAATTCGCGACGTTTCGGGTGCTTTACAGCACCCATGGTCACGGCGGGGACCATAAATATATTTTTTATATTTCTATGGTTGGGACTGAGATGTTTAAAGTCCCAATGTCATTATCATACACGTCGGAAATTAAAAATAAGTTTATAAAACGCGATAAAATTAAATAGTTTTATTCAATGTGTGGTGTTCACGTAAATTTAAGAAATCATTAATATGAAAGGTATAAAATATTTTTATTATACATTTTAGCATCCCTAAAGCAAACGGCTGGCTTCGTCGTTCAAAATGCTTACAGCAAAGCGATGGAATAATTTGCCAGCATCTGCGTTCCCATTATAATGTGGGCGTCTTTAAGGCAACAGCGAATAGGCTAATTCAGTATGCTTTACTATCTTCCACCACATGGATGGATATACCACCACTTACCATAAGGTAAGTAGTCAAGCACTGGTTTATAATATTTATAAAAAAAATATGAGTACATAAAAATCATTCAAATATTGTTGAATAGCAGTTATAAAATTGATCTACAATTACATGTCTGTAATTGTA